ATATATATATATATATATATATATATATATATATATATATATATAGTAATAATATAATCAATATGTTTACCCGACTGTGATTGCTAGTTAAAATCATTAAAAATGAAGGAAAGATAAATGGGAGTCTATCATCCGAATGTGGCTTAAAGTAAAACGATTCTACCTTACGGTCATGTACTTTGATATTTTGCGATGCCTGAAGTTTCTCGAGGCGAAAATTGTTTGATCCGTACGACGCATAGCAAATTATTCTTATTGCGCGCTTTCAAATGAAGAGTACTCGGCGAACCATGAAACCTTAATAACTTGAAACCGGATTTTGCGAAAATAAGCAAAAGTTCGTCGATACGGGAGAACGTGTAACACTTGTATACATCCTATCTATCCGTTCCGTTATCTGCGCTGCTCATTTACGACTTTTCCACCATAATATCATTACCTTCAGTTTGTCGTAACGTGCGCGCAAAACGAAAGCTTGAAATGATCATCTTTCGAGGGTAGTAGTGGTCTCCTGAACCTATCTTCTGGTTTACGCTCGCAATTACGATTTAACCGAGAGAAACGGTGCTCGTTCAGCAAATTGAACACGAGGAACGCACAGGCGCGCGGAGTACGCGGACGCGCGGAGAATTATTTGCAAATGAATAATCGCCCGTGAGTCAACCGACTCACAGAGCCAAGCGAGAGCAAGAGCGAGAGAAAGAGAGAGAGAGGGAGGGAGGGAGGGAGAAGGAAGAGAGCGAGACGAACGCCTTGTGTCGCCGTACATGATTCATGGATTCTGCATGTTCGTTAAAGGCTTTCTGTAGACGCTCTTGTACGGCCACACGAGAATGCCAGATTAGATACGTAAGCGGCGTTTATGGCGAATGGAATTAAAAGACTGACCGTGCTTATCGGGTCGCCCGTACCTCGTTTCCGTCCGAGCTATCGCCGTAGCGTATCGCCGCGTCGGCGGAGGCTGGCCTCGCGCGATTCGGAAAATATTTTTTTAATCGGCTATTGTGCGTGTGCACGAGTCATTCTGTTTGCACACGCTCGGCGTTTCGCTCTCGCGCAACACATACACAAAGCGCACACACGCTGCGCGCGCGTCGTTGTGCGCAACATAGTCAGGGGGAGTTTCAATCGTATTGAGGGATGGCTTGAAGCTCGATAGCATCGAGCTTGATCGGCGATATCGCCGATTCGCAATTCTTAGAGATCGTAATTTTCAAAACTGTCCAATCGCGCTCCAAATCCTTCATCTGATCAAATGATGAAAGATGGCCAACCGCCTACGATACTAGCGCTTTCACTGAGAGAGAAAATATGATTGATCCACAAGTAAAGTTGTAATCATATTAGTCCGATTTAACTAAAGCTATAATTATTAATATAAAGTTGTTTTCGGCCTCAACCATGTTTTCTGGTTGTTCTAACACGAAATATTACAATACATGAAATGCATATGGAATATGCATATATAAGATTATTACTGATTATAGTCAGC